AGTCTTCACCCTAAAAGTAATGATTCCCCTCATGGGGACCTCCCATTTTGTCCCCATAAGGGAGACGAGTCCCCACCGTGACTGTGTAAACAGATTGAGGTCCCCCACGAGGTATAGTAATGCTAGACCACACACACACACACACACCCACACACACACACACACACACACACACACACACACACACACACACACACACACACACACAGTAGTTATATATGATATTCAGACATTTATCGCCTGTGTGGTTTTATACGTTCTGCAGCCTTTCAGTTTTAGAGTTAAAGTGGGTTTTGACAGCTAAATTGCTTCTCTGTTTGCATGTTATGAGGTGAGGTGAAAAGCTCTTGTAACAGGACTAAAATAAGAACAGTTCAATATTGCACCGCCTTGCTAATTAACAACTTCTTTTTATCTCTTCCTGTCACCCTCTCTGTGTGCCTCCCACTCACAGAATGACTCATGGGGCCTCCAGTACTCCTATGCTCTATTCAAAGCCATGAGCCACATGTTGTGTATTGGGTACGGAGCACAGGCTCCAGAAGGGATGACTGATGTGTGGCTCACCATGCTCAGTATGATCGTAGGGGCCACCTGCTACGCCATGTTCATCGGACACGCCACCGCTCTCATCCAGTCTCTGGACTCCTCGCGGCGACAGTACCAAGAAAAGGTGAAACACAACACTCATTCTGTACTATACTTGTTATCGTGTAACTATGTTACCCTGAGTCCTTAAACCTCTGTCTATGATCATGTTTATTATCAATTAACCTTTGGTGGTTTTATTATGAATCAACTCAGCTATCGCAATTTCCCAGGACCAGAGATGGGGTCGTTACTAAAAAAATGTATTACATATTACTTTAAAAAAAAGTAATATATTACACTACTTCGTTACTCTCTACATAAAGTAACTCGTTATTTTACTCGTTACTTTACTCGCCGAGCACGTACGAACTGCGCATTCGTGAGTGGCAATAACTCTCCTTACCAGCAGGCGGCGGTAGTGTGTATTCGTCATTCAAAACAGGCAACAACCGGAAGACAGAGAAGAAGAACAGACTACGTGATATACACAAACAAATAGCGTGTGCTTTAGCTTCACCTTAGCATGTGTTTGTTGAGGTTTGACGTTGTGTTTACAGCAGTGGATAACAGCTTCTGGCCTGGACACAGTTTGCACCTCACCGCAGTGGCGGTTCTAGAACATTTTACATGGGGGGGCAAAGGGGAGGCAAGAGGTCATGCCAGGGTGGCATAGGAGGGCGGACAGTACGTGGTATTTTATACTGTATATAACCTATTTATTGTTAATTCATGCCCTAACACAAGTGTTCTTAATGCACAAGAGAAACAAGGTGTTCAGACAAACAATCGGGTGCCCTTTGAGTCCCCCAAGCTTACCTCAACCATTTTAAATGAAAGGAAACTACAAAATGTATTTTAAAGCAATGAATTAATGGACAGGTTGTTTTGCATTACAATGTAAAATAAAATATATATTTTGTTTTTAAAAAAATTGGTTGTCTTAGACTTAGACAGACATATTTGCATGTCCTCACTAAGCATTATTACATATTAATTTAATATTTAACAAATCAAAATGGCCAATTATCCCAAAATGTTGCTGCTAATATAATCATATGCTTGTCAACTTTAACTGATCAAAAATTAATTCTGAAAACATACTTGAATTATCTATGAAATTGCAATATTGTCCCTCAGTTTGTTTCAACCCCGTCACGCCATATCATTTACCCTCCTATTAAAATAATGGATCAGTCCATGTGTGATCTGCATTGAGGGAATTACATCACAAAAGTGTCAGTTTCTTCTCTTACCTATATTTCAGTTTTTGTATTTTCAGATTAAGATTGACAAACTCAACATTTCAACTATGTTGTATGAATTAATAATAGTAAATAATTGTTTATTACAAAAATAAACAATAGTTTTGCAAAATATTACAATGTTGTAATGTCCTTGACTTCCATGTGGTGCCATATCTTTGCTAAACAAGGTCTCATGCCTACTTTTTGTCAAAAACTTCAACCCTGTTACATTTTTTCAAGGAAATTCCTAGTAATTATTTATATTTTGAGCCTGAGGTGGGAAAATGTAAGTAGTCCACTACCAGATGTTATGACCAAACTTTTTGGTTTTATTTTTCAAAGATATAAAGACCCAAAAGGCACCCGATTCAGAGAATACTCAGAATTCTGCATACTGTAAGTACTTAATTATAATTAAGTACACAAATGACATCACCCATCTCTTCAGAGAGCTACAGGTGACCTGTGCAGCAACACATTTCAATCAATATTTGTCAATACTAAGAGCTGCTAGATTGTGCTGCTGTAATGGAATATGTAAGGAGAATAAGAACATACCATGTGGTCCAGCTGGAGTCTCATCTGCCTCCTGATCACTGCCTCTGGCCCTCTCTCTGACACTTCATCTTTATTCCTCACATATATTTCTTCTTCTTCACTAATGTCTTCATCTCCTCCTCTTCCTCCTGCTCTGACCCTCCTGGTCTCTTCATCTCTCTTTTCCTCTTTCTGTTCGTCCTGATCACTTCTCATATGTCTTTTTGTTGTTGTTGAATCACTCCTATACTCTGGCCTGCAAGAGTCTACTTGTGAAAAGCACTGGTACAAATGCTTGTATAACTTTACACGTTAGGGCCATGTAGCCTAGATAATATGTAGCATATCATAAATATAACATCAGAAAGTATTGATCAAGCGCACACAGGCAGCTGTGTTTGGATCCAGTTTTTACGGTAAAGGATGTATTGTGGTGACACGTTATTGGACATAATTCACCTTGCTTATTGTGTTGCCACACGGACCCTTTAGTGGGGAACACCTGTAGCTTTAGCTGCCATTCCTGCTAGCTCATCAGGCAGAGCAGTGCATGTGTTAACCTCTCTGAAAGTAATGGATAATAAAGATTGGAACTCCATTCTTAATACACCGCCTCCGACTCTCTTTTCACGGCACTACAGTATCCTGGTTTCATTGATCTGGCCTCATGGTTGTGATGTGTAGTTTACGTGGATTTAATAGTAGGCTACCGCGTAGTTTAGCAAAGTGATCGATCTCCCAGCTAACGCTGTCTGCGTAGTATTTTGTAACGTAACGCCCCAAACAGCGCCCGTCTGTTAAACGCTATCGATTCAAACGGCAGCGTTGTATTCATATTTAGTTTCAAGCTCTCGTCCTTAGTCAAAACAAAACTAGTGGAAAGGGAAATGCTCCAAGGGGAAGCTGATCCACCTTCAGGTGCTGGGACAGCTCGCTCCCTCTCTGCAGCGGTGTGAGCCGCCGTCTGTGTGAACGCCGCTCCGCAGTTTAATGCAGGGCCGTAGCTGCGTTTTTAACGGGCCTAAAATTATATTTAAAATGATTCACTTTTAACTAATGTAATGCTTCTTTTGTTGCTTGAGAAGCTTGTGGAAATAGTGTACGTTTGTTTTAGTACAGTTTTAGGGAAACAAAAGTTAGGGGGGCAGCTGGGGGGCAAGGCTCTACAGTGGGGGGGGGGGGGCAGCTGCCCCCCCGTAGATCCGCCCCTGGTGACCGTCACATTCCTATCTATTATTCGGACGAACTCAAAATAATGGGCGTACCTCCACCCCTCGAAAGTTATCGCTGACTCAGCCATGTTTATGCAGCACTGCACGTGGAGATGTGGACGCGCAAGTCGCGTACATTACGTACATATAAACCTGCGGCGGAAAACCCTCTTGTCTGTCAGTGTGATTATGAATGATTTTAGTAAGTAACGAAGTAACGCGTGTCGGGGCAATGTTAGTAACTGTAGTGTGATTACTGAATTGTAAAAGTAGCGCGTTTTACACTACTCCGTTACCGACAAAAGTAATATTATTACACCCAACTCTGCCCAGGACCCACTTTTTTGTCAAAAGTCAAATCTTGTGGTTTCCAAACTCGGGTTAAAAAGCAGTCCTAGGATGGACCTGAGGGATCTCAAAATGATTCATAGGATATAACTGAGTCAAAAACACCTTTTGTCATCTTTCCTTTTCTTCTGCAATGCTGGATACACCTTTTTATTCCAAATTGTTTTAATTAACAATCTGAGAATGGAAAATCGGGTCAAACTCCTCACAACTTGGCTCTGTCCAAAATCAATCCCTCAGCTGTGACCCCTTGTCAAAGCTGACACAGGGGTCACAGGGAGAAAGAGGGAGAAATGTTGAGTAGACTCAAAGGATGGAACCAATAGAATAATCAATGTTGTCATGCTCTCTTCTTTTAAAACTTGTTTACAGATCCCTGACCTGTGTTTGTGTGATATTGCAGTACAAGCAGGTGGAGCAGTACATGTCGTTCCATAAACTTCCTGCAGATGTGCGTCAAAAGATCCACGAATACTATGAGCACCGCTTCCAGGGGAAGATGTTTGACGAGGAGAACATCCTTGGAGAACTCAGCGACCCACTGAAAGAGGTAAATAATTCACCATCACTCCCTAATCTACACGTACAGCGTACAGACTTATCACTGGACTGTCATCCAGCCAATCTATTTGACTAACTCTCTCTTTGTGTCTTCTTCCTCCAGGAGATAGTCAGCTTTAACTGCCGGAGCCTGGTAGCTAACATGCCGCTGTTTGCCAACGCCGATCCCAACTTTGTGACAGCAGTGCTGATCAAGCTCCGCTTTGAAGTGTTTCAGCCTTCAGACTTCATTATCCGCGAGGGCACAGTGGGACGGAAGATGTATTTCATCCAGCATGGGCGAGTTGGTGTGCTGACCCGTGGCAACAAAGAAACCAAGCTGAGTGATGGCTCTTACTTTGGAGGTGAGAACATGCAGAGCTGTTTAGATAATTGCACAGAAAGGTAAAGAGGTTAAGGTGATGGTGGTTCATGTTTAAGCATAAACTCGCAGCCTAATATCTTTTTCAGAGATCTGTTTGTTGACTCATGGACGGAGGACAGCCAGCGTCCGTGCAGATACATACTGTCGCCTGTACTCGCTCAGTGTGGACAACTTTAACGAGGTGCTGGAGGAACATCCCATGATGCGTCGTGCCTTTGAAACTGTCGCTGTTGACAGATTGGACCGAATCGGTAAAGTGTGGATTTCTGATTATGTTATATATTTCTCTAACCGTCTTATCTATGCAGTGGCTGTCTATTTCATATTTGGTTATTTAACCCTGCAACGACCTTGCACAATAGTTCAAATAATCTTTTAAATTCTGCAACATTTCTTAGGCTCTTTGTCCTCAGATGAAAGATCAGAACTCATCTTTAAAATAGAAATACCTTTAAAAAAACGGATCAGCAAGGTTCTCCATTGACCTTGAAGCTTAGCCATCAAACGTTTACTTTGTGCTCAGTAAAAAGCTTCTACAAAGTAAAAGTTTTCTTTTCACATCTTTCACTTCTGGCACTTATATGCATAATGTTTAGGAGGATATATTAGCTGAAATGTAATTGAATATTCATAACTATCCTTCCTTTAGCATACAATCATCATCTGAAACTGAGAATCAATGTGTTTTCATTATCTTAAAATAGGGCCTTCATATCTCCATAGGGAGAGGGTCCTCTTCCACGTTGCACTGCCAAGTTAATACAGTAGCTCAGAACATACAAACAAGAGGGTCCACTCTAGTTCTACAACACACTTGTAAATCTGCAGTAATACCAGCGCTGTCTGAAATCCATTGCACTGTTGTGGAAAGGTTGGCTTCTGTGCAAGATGAAGGGTCTTAAGAATTACCACCGCTTTATCTTGAGGAGGCTTGTTAATCTGAAATCAGTTGGTTCCAATCCGCACCCACAATGCTAGATGCTTCCAAATGCCTCCTACACAGTTTATTTTCAATATCTCAAAATTAATAATGAATTTCTTTCCCTACAGGCAGGAAGAACTCTATGCTTCTGCGGAAGTCGTCGCAGGGCGGTTCTCTGGGCGGCAGTATGGGTCGTGGAGGCCGGGGTGGAGGGGGTCCAGGAGCCAGGGGAGGTATGGGCTCCTGTGACAGCGTGCTGGTGCAGCAGATTGTCAAACACGACAGCATGCCGGCGATGCAGGATGCCATTGCGGCCGCTGCTGCAGGAAGAAGCGGAGTCATGGGAAGAAGTGGCTCGGTGTCTCCTCGGCCGCGCCCGGTCATCTGGGCTCCGCTGGTCAACGCCCCCCTGCAGGCGGCTGCTGCCACCAGTAATGTAGCCATCGCCCTCATGCACCAGCAGCAACAGCAACAGCAGCTGCAGCAGCTGCAGCAGCAGCATGCACTGGGAGGGGCTTTCTTCTTGCCTTCACCTCTTGTGTCTCCCTCTCCGTCCTCTACCTTTTCTTTGTCTACCCCTCGTCCTCCTGTGTTACAGCCCCTCCGCCCGTCTGTGAGCTCTCTCATCGGCATGATGACTCTGGGAGGGCTGGGAGGAATGGGTGGTTTGTCCCCCAGAGGATTTCCTGCCTCTCCCTCGACCATGGGCCCTCCTGGTGGGTTGACCTCACCCCCGATTGCCAAAACTCCACCCATACCAGCATCCTCTGTCCCAGCATCTATCCAACCAGGCAGGACTCTTCATACCAGCCTCCGCCTCCAGGCTGATCATCACTCAATGATTGCTGGATCACTAGGAACCCCGACAGGTGGAGGGACACTGACTCCACCTCTCCATAAAGTACCTGCCGCCAACCCTCCTGCTGCTTATAGAGCCCCGTCAGATGGCAACACTTTTATGATGGGCCACCAGGGGGCAAAGGAAGCTTTGTTACGTCATGGTGGAACCAGCTCTCAGGGTCTGCCGGCGCTGGGCAGACTCACCCAGGAGGCCAGGCTGCTGTCGGCCTCACAGCCCACCCTGCCTCACCGCTCCTGGGTTGGAGTGCAGCCTCACCCCCCTCTTCACAGGAAGGCCTCTGGTGGTAATTTGCTGGCGACTCCTTTCCTGGCAGGGCAGTTAGCCAGGGGAGGCAGTGCAGGCATGCTGACCTCAAACACTCCAGTACAGCTAGTGACACATATTCCATTTAACGCACAGACACACGCTCAGGCCGCATTTCCTATTCAGCCTGCCTTAGCACAGTATCTGCCCACACAGGCTGCCCCTCACAGCACCTCTGTACCTTCAGCCGCACACAAGCCTGCAGCTCCCCTAACATATTCCTCCCCTCCAAAGCAGACCCCTCTCTCTTCTCCCACCCCCTCTTCTCCTACACCTATACTCCCTCCTACACCGCATCCTAAACCAATCTCAATGACACACTCTGGCTCCTCCTCTCCTCCTCGCAGCTGCACCCCTCCTTTAGCAAACCCGCTGTCGCTCTCCTCAACTCCTCGTCCCAAACCAATTCCTACATCTTCTCCCCGCTCGTCCTCTCCCTCTCCCTCTCCCTCCTCCACACCGCCCCCATCTTCTGTTTTCACCCCTATCCCACCACCTCAAACCTATGGGCCGAAGTCATCTTTCTCCCCTCCAAAGCAGACCCCTCTCTCTTCTCCCATCCCCTCTTCTCCTACACCTATACTCCCTCCTACACCGCGCCCTAAACCAATCTCAATGACACACTCTGGCTCCATCTCTCCTCCTCGCAGCTCCACCCCTCCTTTAGTAAACCCGCTGTCGCTCTCCTCAACTCCTCGTCCCAAACCAATTCCTACATCTTCTCCCCGCTCGTCCTCTCCCTCTCCCTCCTCCACACCGCCCCCATCTTCTGTTTCTACCCCTATCCCACCACCTCAAACCTATGGGCCAAAGTCATCTTTCACCTCCTCCTCTCCCCCATCCTCCTTAATCACCTCTATCCCACCTCGTCCCCAGAGCCCCCGAGCCAAGGTGTCCAACACGCCTCCTTCTCCTTCTCCATTGTCTGGCCCAAGTCCCGCACAAACTCCAATCCCTTCCCCGATACTAACACCCACTCAGACCACCCGTACACGCACTTCTACCCCTGCCCAAACACCTACACAGACCCTTAGTCCTACTCCTTCCCATTCTCCGGTTCCTGTGACACCTGTCCCCTCTGTAAGTAAATCCCTGAGTCCAACTCCTTGTCTCCAGCCCTCAATCTCCAGCTCAGCTAGAGGCCCCAACCAGGGCCAGATCCCCAAACAGACCCCAACACAAACTGCATTGTCTGCCCCGACACCAGCTAGTGTTAGCTCTCCACGTAAAATAACTTTCTCAGTTCATCCTGTGCAGCAAACCTCTCCTGTCCTTACTCCAAGCCCAACTTATGTCTCTGGTCATTCGACCAAACCAATCCCGGGGACAACATCATCCTCATCGTGTCCAAACTCGAGCTCCACTAAGCCTTCATCTCTGACCTCCTCTGGTATCCATTGTGCCTCTTCTCCCGTCCTAAAACAAATATCAACCCCAACAGCTGCCCCTACCCACTCCAAAAAACTCAATACCCCCTCTATTCCTGCCGCTCAGGCTTCCACCACCTCATCCACCCAGTCAGCACATGCAGCTCCCCTTGCAAAGGCCACTGCTCCTAAAGGTGGGAAAAAAGACCCTCTGCATTCATTGCCTGAAAAGACTAAGAGGAACTAAGACACAAAATGCCCGCTGCTGATAAGCAGAGCCATTGATATACAGAGTGGTGTCACCAGACATCAAATATGTCAAGTGGACAGGTACATATTTTGCATATACTTTATGTGATTGTCTTAGAACATCAGGGGTTCATGTGACTCTCAACCCAAGCCATCGATGGAAGAGAGAAGACTTTATTGGTGATTCAAAAGGTTGGCCCAGGCAACGGTAGAGTCTGATAAAATCCATCCCAATGTACAATACATACATATCGGTGTTAGTGATTGTTGGAGCAAGCAGGGGAGCTGAAGGGAAAATGATATGGAAGCAATAGCTGAAATAAAAAAATCTCCATTTATTTGACAATGGAAAAAAGCAATATGAGTGAAACATTTTAGGCTCCCTTAATGTGACAGGAAATGAATTTGAGAAAATAATAATCTCTGCTATTGATATGAAAGTCCATCTTGGTGACGGTTTTAAATGCAGGCAAGAGAGTGGACACTTTCTGGTTTCCAGCTCCAACTCCCTCTTGCCTCCCATTCTGCACCAAAGTGTAATATTTTATCATCCAAATAATAATAATGATAAGAAAATAGAGATTAAAAATCACTGTTAAGACGATGCTCATATGAATTGGATTCAATAGGAGCAGTCCACTGGTAGTTTTGTTGTCACAAGTGTGTGGTGTTTAGTTTTTGATCAAAACAAAACTTTTAAACCTACATGATTTTTCTATAATGTGTTTATTTGTTTGTGGCAGACAATCTTGCTCTGCATCGTGGCTCACGTTATTTATATTCCATCCTGCTCCATGAACTGTAAATACGTGCCTCTCTTTGGGTCTGTTGTAAGCTTCATCACTCTTCACCCTCTCTGTCTTTCATCTCTTCTCTGTCTCGCCGCCTTTCATCTGATTTTCACAGCCGTGGTCGCTAAATGCTTCGCTGGCTCTCACAGATTCTCTCCCTTTCTCTCGGTTTACCCAACACTTGCTCTGTGTGGCAATCAGCCTCACGTTCAAATGGCTCTTTCTTCTGTCGTCCTACAACACTTTTTCAGCAACATTTTCAGTGATGTTTGATGTTTTGTGTGAGTAGCAACAAGACATTTCTGTCTTAACCCCTGATACCATGTTGCCTAGACAATATATTAAAGGACCAAATGTTTTATTTTTTATTTATTACAGCTTTAGCTTTAAAACAGAAAATAAATAGCTATTAATGCTGAATTAAAGATGATTTTGAGCGTGGTGTTTAAGGTGATGATTAGGATTACATTCTTGACAACCATAACGGTAATTATGTATATTTTGATGTAAGAATAAAGCGAATTTAGATATCACCGTGTTGTGTGTGTTGAGCTCTTTTGTGTTCTTGCATGCATTTGTATCCTGTCAAGTGAATTGCTTTTACATTAACCACAGACAGGATGTAGGCAGGGAACTTGCAAATATTTGTATTTATATTGACTTAAATTCAACTGGAAGTTTGTTGACTTCTGCCACTGTGAGTTAGGATTTGTTGTTTGTGTAATTTGAGTGAACTCATACATTGTTTTGCATATTTCATCCTACTTCAGATAGATTACAATGATACTGAAAACCTCTTGAGACTCAACGTGGACCCTTGTGACTCTGGATGGACTTTTCCTTGACCTTGGAATATTTGATACTTAAGAGGTTTGTTGAATTAACTTAATGCTGCTGTGAGATAAATAAACCCATCACGAATGTCCTGTACCTCTCAGCAGAGGGCAGGATGGGCTTGTGAATGTGGGGAAACATATCCTTCTACTTTAGTTCAGACTAGGTCTCACTGATACACCTGCCTCTCTTCCCCCTCCTATAATTTCCTCTCTCTCACTCAAATGTATTTTACTTCTCCTCCTTCACTAATGAACAAGGGTATTTCTAAAGCCCTTCATCAGCCCGTGTATAGGCAGCGAGCAGGCGAGAATAATTGTTCACCTCTATTAGTTAAGAGGCATTAGCATGTTGGATTTACACTTGTAATTATTTGAACACTTCAAAAGCCTCTTCTGAGTCTCACAAAGCAGCACTAATTTGTCAGAAGAGGATGAGTGCCTCTAGCTGTAAATATTTGACGGTTTTTTCTATGCTGGTAAATAAATTGCTGACATTTTTTAATTAAAGGACAGGAGAGAGACTGTAAGCTGTATTTCTAAAAAATGTGTAAAATGTGTATACTTTTGTACTGGAGGCTTCACTTGAGCAGACACTGGTTAGGGATTTAGGACTGCTGAATGCAACGCAACCACTAGATGGCGATGGCACATTGATGATCAGATCAACTCAACAGGAAGCAGCAGCATCTTGCACTTTATATTTCTTAAGTTTATTTACAGTAACATGAGCGAACAGGAGAGAGACATTTGTATGATGAGGACATTTATTGTTAGGAGGAGAGCGCAATATGGAGCAAGGTGAGAGGGTAAATGATGGCAGACCAGCCTGGATTACCAGCCGTGAATAGAGGTGGGGGGATAAACAGGACTGTAATTGCTGCCCGTCACTCTGGATCTGAAATAGACACAGAGGGAAGTCTTTACTCTTGGCCGTGGGGGAGACAGACTGAACTGGCAGAGAGTTTCTGGGCCTAGAAACTCACAGTTATGGGTATTTTATTCCCTTAATTATACCTTTGCATAGCAGCTGTCTGTGTGTACATATCCTGGAAGTTAAATCACTGGATTTACATGTTTCTAAATTCCTTGCAGGGACAGAATAAAGGGTCTTTCTGCAAGTTAGTGTAAATCAGTATTTACACATATAAATATCAAAAATACCGTATTTTACAAAAAAGTTAGAACATTATGCAGGATATAAATTAAAATGGTTTAGGAAGAAAAGGGATAACACAATCAAAACCCGTTTTGATCAGTTTTAAGAGTCAATTAAATAAATACAAATAAATGTACAACGTACATGATAATGTTAGATGCATACAATTAAAGTTAATCCATGAAGTGAAATATTTGAAAATTAAAGTCCCATTTAGTTGTTTTTAGAGAAATTAAAATGTAAGCCTATATAAGTTGATTGTATGATGGAAATAGGTTGTGCCAAATAAAAAGTTGTTATGCTTTACCCAACTTTCAAAGCAGTGTCTATCATCATGACCCCTGTAATGGGTTGGAATTGTTTTGTTACCAGTTAAAAGAGTTTTGGATTTCTTCAATATAATAGTTTTTAGAGGCCTGGAGAGATGAAAGTAACCAGCATTTCATTTCATTTTTTATGTTAATCATCTCGTGACCCCTTTGGTCTCAACCGGGTCTCAACTCCAGGTTTGGGAACCACTGCTTTATATAAAGCCAACATGGAAATCAGTAGCATGTATGGAATATGTGGTGCACATATAGTTTTACGTCTCTGTCTGGTAGCAAAACCACAGAACAAGCACAGATTTAAGGTTAAGGGGGTGGTAATGGGGGGCTGAGCTCACCGCAAAATTATATATAGACTTCCTGCACCCTCACTTCAAAACCCACCAACACACACTCACTCACTCATGGAGGAGCTACAGTAGACGAGGATGAGATTCAAACTTTGAAAAAGCGCGGTGATTCCCATACCCATAACCACTTCAAACAGTAAGTGTTCAAAGTTGACTTTTTTGCAGTGAAGTGAGGGTTAAGTGTCTGTGCTTGAGTCTCTCTGGAAGAAAATGTATTATAAAACCATGTTGAGTTTTTATTTTCAGCATGAGCAAACATAAGCTACAGTAGCTATATAGAATTTGTTTTGTTTTGTTCTGATTCACTATACAAGCCATTTAAAAAGTCCCTCGACCTTTGCTGCTCCTCAAACTGGATGTGACACATCCTTTATAATAGTTTCATTTATCATAATAAGTTCCGTTTGACTTAAATCATCTTTCAGCGTCAGCTCGGGCTCCCATTTTGAGTTATTAATGCACTTCCATCTCTCCATTCGTGGTCACCTCCTCCAGGGTGTCTCCTGATTGCTGAGTCATGAATAGGAGGAAAGGGGGCACTTAGTCTAAAATGCTTGAAAAAGCGTTGGCATTTGACATGCAGGCTTAGCTATTAGCAGATATACTTGAATGCGTTTTCCCTGCACGCCCTTATCTACCCACCTATGGCGGTGATGATGCCCGAAGCAGAGATAGGAGGAGGAGCGGGGTCTCCAAACCGGCCCACCTCTCTCCTCCTCCTCCGCCACCGGCTCCGCGACAGACACCGCTCCTGGCCTATCGCGTCAGAGTCGGAGCCCCCCCTTGCTCTCCCTCCCTCCCTCCCCTGTGCCCTGCCCACCCCGGCGGTCTCTTCTCCAGCCCTGCCAGAGCCAATCCGCGACTGGGTGTAAGTAGGGCAAGCCGCTTCCTGGTTCTCAGAAAGAAGGAGCCTGGAGTTGGAGTAGACCAGCGGAGGCAGAACACATACAAGGGGGGGAAGCACCGCGGAGAGCCGGAGGTCTGCAGGGAAGACCCGCAACACGACAAACGCTGACCCACGAAATATTAAAAACCTCCCAGGTGTCGCGCTGAGGACGACAAGAGCGGTTCCCCCGGTAGAAAAGAAAAGAGCCGTGAGGATAAAAAAGAATAAGTAGAAGAAGTCGGCAGGGTGGGACGGAATAATCCAGGAAGTGTGGAGGCCGGTCAGGTGGGAGGCGACGAGTCTGAACAGGTGACACACCGGCACTCAGGTAAACTGCTTCACCTGACTGCTGTCGATTTTAAATATGTATAACACTAATTTTAAGATAAATGTAGCCTCATGCAAGTGACTGTTTGCCATGACAGCACCGGCAACCCCATAGCCTCCCTCCTTCCCGGTTCTCATCGGGGTCACGGGAGGACTATCCACGTCACGGGTATTCGGTAACTCCCGTCGACATTAATGTATTCCCCTTTTTATAAGACAGTTTGAGCACTTGGTTTTGCACATATGAAACGGAGGCTGTGTGCTTGTTGTGGTTTATGAGCAGGTGCTGCAGCTGCTGTTTAATAGTCTGTGTGTGTCGGCCAGGTGAGAGGCAGAGCAGGGTCGGCGGGTACATTTCTGGAGACTCTGCTGCTAATTATAGCCGAGTCCCGGCTGACATCCAAAACCTAACCTGCTCTGCACGCACATCACCTGCCTCTCCACTGCCCATGGGCATGCAGGAGATCTGTTGGTTTTTAGCCCTTGCACCTAAAGGACCTCCCTTCAGTGGTCTGTTAATCATCATCATCATCATGGCACGCCCAGTGTTTTTATTTTAATCCTGTCACTCTGCTGTTTTACAATAGGATGTGCTCAGGCTGTAATGTTAGGTTAAGGCTCCTGTCTACCTCATGGGTGGGGAGTGTGTGTGTGTGTGTGTGTGTTGCTGACTCGCCCCTCTGACAGACCGGCCTAACGAGCTCAACTGGCTTGGGTTTGGTTTCTCTGTCTTGGGCACAGCCTGTTTGGTTAAATCTTTAGCCGTCCGTGGTAGTTAATGCCTTCTGCCCTCTAGGCTCAGGTGTTGTTGCAAAACATTTTTTGTTTTCCCCCTCACCTCTGGTCCTCTGAGGGGCTGACAAGGCCTGAGCGTGTGAACGAACAGGAGTTTATGAGAAGAGAGGTCCTTTTTGTTTTCTTTGTCTCTCCCTGTTATCCCATGCCATCATGTGAGTGGACATCTAATGCTCTCCCCACATATGGAAGAAATTAATTCTTAATGCCAGCTCTGTTTGCCCTTACTTTGTCTGCAACATAATAAGACATGTGTGCTTCATCCCTGGTTTCTGCTGTCCTCACACGACCTCTGTCCTGTTCTGCTTTCTACAGGCTTGCTTCTTGTAGCTGATATCTCCTGTTTCCTCCCTACACATCACCATCGTGTGTTTAGTCTGAATCTGCCCTTCAGACTCATTCTCCACATCATTACCTGAATCTCAAAGATGTGTTTGTATGCGTGTGTGTGTGGGGGGGCTTACTTCACTTACCTCACTGACCATTGGAGAACTTGTTTTCCAACGAAGTCAAAGTAGGAAGCGGTCAGTTTCTATCAGTCTTTTTATTTCTGTTCTTTTCCCAGAACCCCCCTGCTCTACCCCACATTACATCTAATGCATCGTGTGTGTCTGTGTGTGTGTGTGTGTGTGTGTGTGTGTGTGTGTGTGTTTGTGTGAGATTATCCAAATGCACTGTAGCTAGACCTGAAACTAATTTACAAGAGAAAAGTACCTCAATAAGTCAGCGTTTGGTGTTTTTTCTCTCGATCAGTTTATTGCCTCTTTATTCATATACTTGAAGTAGATGCTTTGATCGGAGCCCCTCTTTGGACTGAATGTTTTTTTTAACTTGTCTGGCTTTTCTTTCAGGTGTATGACCTCTGCTGACCTCCAAGCAAAGGACCAAAGGGAAGGGGGAAGAGCAAGAGGCCGAAGACAGCAGGCACCCATCTTCTCCTGGGTTTATGGACCGGAGGTAGGAACCACTCGATACATATATCTGTGTTTGTTATACCTAAACACAAACATCAGTCCCTCTCTTTTAAAAAAAAAACTTAAACTTGTTATGCCCTCAACCATTTTGTTAAGATGATCTGGTTCGATATTCCTCACACTAAATAGTTGGTACAAAGTGTCATCCAAACACAAGAGGCAAGCGTGTATACCTGTTTTTAAATAATCACAATCAAAGGTGGCAATGCTCTGAGGTGACTACTTTTACACTCTCTCTCTCTCTCTTTCTCAAATCAAATCAAATGTGTGATTCTGTGAAGAATGCTTCAATAACTGTTACAAATAAATGAACCCAATTAACTTGTTTTATAGTGTAAGAGCATTTCTAACCGCAATAAATCTACATAGTCAAACATATGTATCAATCTAAGAATAATACTCCAAACCAACTTGGGCTGAGAAACACAAATAAAAGCGATGTTCTTGAAAAAGCCTTTATTTATTTTCTGATACAAATCATACAGAACGGATTGATTTGCATTTGCTTTATCGAGTTGCATTTTACACACATTGTTGTGGGGGTCTCACCTCATTAAACATAGTATTTTTACAGGATTTAATGGGCTTTTTGAAAACCTCATTGACCTTGGAAAAAATATGATCTGAATAAAGTGGTCAAGCAGTTGAATATTTTATAGGCAACCTGGAAGTTAACTCCTCTGTTTGTCGTCTGCAGGCGTTTTATAACTACAATGAGCTTTTAAAGAAGGTTTGGGAATGATGCCAAAAATACACTCTAGTGTTAAAAACGGGCTGATGTTATTTATAGGTTTTTGATATGTGATATAATCACAAAACAATAAAGCTTTGGAGAAAGTCTAAAGCCGTATTGATGTTATTGAGTAATACTACACTAAACCATGACACATTTCTCTGAAGCAACAACATTTACAGCTTCTTAAGCTTCAGGCTAAAGTCATTTGAAGTCCTTTATTAACCTTCAATTAAAATGCAGTTTTTGGTCTAAAGCTTAATTTAGGATTACTGTAACTAATAATGCACTTTATTGGAAAACATAAAGAAAATAGCGACTCAACATTTTAAATTGTACCTTAAGGTTTTAGAGAGAAAGACAACAAATGAAGCAATTCCCAATTAAGATTATTTGTTCAAACTATCATACATTTACCGAGAGGACTGTAACCTTGAAATGAAAATTCTCATTCTTAAGTCTAATATTAAAGTGTATACTATTATTAACTGTGATAGAGTTACATTTATTGTAGTTTAAAGTGCATAGCCAACAAAACAAACACTCCTTTAGAATTGTAAAACAACTAATAACAACAACTTCCTCTTTATTGTCTCTTATGCTTAACCATATTTCAAAATACTGTGTGGCGTACACTCCCACTGAAAGACATTGTTAGGTGTAAAAACAGTAATAATATGTTACATACAGTCCTCAACACTTTTTTATTTGAGCTGAGTTTGAATTTGTTGGTGTGTGCGTGTGTGTTTGTGATTGTGTGAATGTGAATGTGTTGGGCAAGTTGGTGAGACATATCATGTGACCTCGGCTTTGCTGCAGCATAACTGGTGACAACCGTGTGTCCATGAACTGATGGGTAGGGGGAAGTTACATTGAGTGGTCTATCAGGCGAGGAACACACACACACACACACACATACACACGTACAGATGCGCACACATACACGTACACACACACACACACACACACACACACGCATACACACACACACACGTATAGACGCACACACACTTCCAACACATGCATACACAGACAGTCTATATAAACATGCATGCAAACAGTTCCAAGAACTGCTTCAATTGGGGCATGTGAGCCCATATAAATTCCCCCTTTTCAGAAACGGGTCTTTCAGTTTCACACAAACCAACTGAGTGGGAGGGAGGATAGGAGTTGATAAAAGGTTTCTATCTTTACCCCTAATATTTGAAGATGTCTCACCTTCTTTTCTCAGGCTTTTTTTCTACGTCGCAACACCTTTTTCGCCAAACCTCAATCAAATGTGGGCCCCGCTACTCAAGTATCATTTATTATAGTCGATGGAGCATTTACATTCATTCATTATTTCCCTGCAGTAATTTACTCATTAGTTAATCAACTCTAGTTTAAAGTTTGTATATACCATGACCTTATAGTTTTCACCATATATGGCGGTTGTTTCCCCACATTGAGGCAGTAATGGCACAGGGGTGACTTCACAGTGTCCGTAATCCAGTCTGCTGCTACTACCGTTGAGTCTTGCCCCCACTTGATCTGTGTCAATAGAGGAAGTTATGTATCTACCATTTCCTCTTTTCAGTCATGAGTTTCTGTAGCATTTGACAGCCCTCCCTTGCTCTCGACCACCATCCTCGCAGCCCACGCCACCAATAGTTAACCAATAGGCAGGTGGCCGTGACTCCTTCTTCTTGTAAAGAGTCAGAGAGGAGAGGAGAAACCAGGCTTGAGAGAAAAGGCTAAAAGGTGAAGGAGTGATCATGATTCAGCGCTTCTAGTAACAATTGTCTCTGTACACATGAAGCGGGCGGTTATCATAAGTAGATACAGTGAGACGACACTTCAGGGAAAGTGAGAATAAACACCCAAACATGAGCAGGCAAAGGGACTCATGCTGCTGAAACTGACCCCTTTCATGTGTGAAGCTCAGAGGGGAACTCCTGCAGAATGGAGACAGCCTATCGTCCTTTTGGAAAAATAAAGATACCTTTTCTGTTATTTTCAAACCAAACATTACTTTTCAACAAGATGAGAAGTAGCCATTTATTTTATCACTTATTGTTTTGTATTATTTTCAAGAAATTCTCATCCAACATCTATTTCTTAAATTGGAAAGAATAAATCATCATTCCGGTTTGAGGCGACCATCAGGAAGAGCATTTATTAGTTTTTTTAACCTCATATCTGTTCTGTCGGCACGTACATTACTGTCTAGTTTCTGACTTACTTTATAACACAGCAGTGGATGGTGCAGTTATTCTGTAGTTGATGTAATTATGGGATTGTAGTTACAATAAGAACCAACCTCCTCCCCTTCTTACGCCGTTTAGCTGATTTATCAGGACGAAGCTGAAACATCTTTCACACATGTATGTCCTTTTGTCTTTTTGCTTCTGCAGTTCTGACATTTTTTAATGTTGCTCTCTGGGCTGTTTCTGCTCTTTCTCTATGTTTCATTTTGTCTTCCATTTATCTTTCCATCTGGCCTAGTGGCCTACCATCTTTACTGAGCACAGGAAGAGGAAACTGATCAGGATCAGTTAGTTTTGCGACATGTCTCTCTCTGCGTTTGTGTGTGTGTCCAGAGCTTTTGCAATATCTTCCTCTAGAGCAGAAGGTCATCTTTGTAGGAGAGCAGCAGTTGTTGAGACCCCCCCTGTCATGTGGCAATATTTAGTTTTTTCTAGACACGCAAACAAAACAGCAAGCTCAGTTCATTTATTGATTCTAGACATGGTTTATTCGAAAAGGCAGAGTAGTTGGCTTTATGTACTAATTGAGATAAATCAAACTGTAAATACACCTCTTTTTTCACTCGTTCCCACTCAGCAATCAGAATATTTAAATATATGTATTATATTTAAAATAGTTTTACAGTAAATAATTAAACTTAAGATTGCTTATATCTTTTTAAATACAAATACAGAAATAATTACGGCACACATTATTTGCTTTGCTGCTACACAACACAATTGTAAACATACCATGGCTTTAAATATCACCCTACATACTGTACACAAACGTTAAAGGAACAGTGCAGCTAAATATTCAATTGTTTTGTTTTTGGTGTCTATAAATCAACAATGATAATCCTTGGCATTTTTTCCGTTCAAAAATATGAATAATCTATACATTTGATTGGTTTCTAAGTGCAGATTTGGAAGGAGTCTTATATTGGCTCTGACTGAAAAGTGACTTTAAAGTTGTGAATGAACAATTCCTGCTGCAAAATCTCTCAAGGTAATCTTTAAAAAATAATGTAATAACATATGTATATACAACAGATACAAAATAATTGTATCTCCATGTAATTGCTCCGTGTAAATCACTTTTGGATTGTAATTTTGACCCGAGTTTCGGTGCTCTGCTCTACGATAAACACCTACAGTTTGAACCACGAGCGACATGTTGGAACACCCCCGATGAGCTACAGCAAGTCAGCTGTTATTGTAACGCACGTTTGACTGTAATGATATTTTAATTAATTTTATTACAGTTTTTCACATAATCAGTTGTCTCAAAGGAAATGTCTTCATCCACGCAAATGAGCTCATCAGATATATTCACGTAATTAAAATCACACACGCAGAAATAAAGTTTCTCTCCTGCTCTTCATATTAATGGAGACGTAGTGTGTATTTCACCCACACACCTGACACTCCTGTGTTCACACACACACACACACACACACACACACACACACACACACACACACACACACACACACAGTGGTGGAGTGTTTGGGGGGGAAGAAACTGCTGACCAGATAAGGAGCCATAAGAGAGAGTAAAGTGTGAAACCACTCTGTCAGCATGCCTCCTCTCTCACATCTGTGTGTGTTCTCCATCTTAGGCTGAAACTCCCTTTTGGTGATGCTAATGATAGAGCAGCTACCACATCTCTCCCTCAGACATCTGCACACACACCCACGCACACACACATACACACACATACACACACACACACACACACACACACACACACACACACACACACCTGCAAGGACTCTTGCTACTTCCTGTGGCTGCGTGCGTGTGTTCACCTCTTGCTCTGTTTATCTCCCAGTCGTCATGTCACTGCTTCTCTCCCTTCGGTCTCCCCCTTCCTCTCCCCTTGTAACTTAACTCTGTCTCCTCTTGTTTCATGTCTCCTCGCTAACACAGATTGTTCGAGGACTAGATTTTCCTGTCTTAATCTCCCCTCTTCTCTGCTTTATCTCGCAGAATATCTCTCTACACCCACTCCCCATTCACTCA